GGCATCATTGCCTCTGTTTTGTGAGGTGGAGGACTTTGTGGACTGGTGTTGGGTTAATGGGTTAATGTTGGACTTGTGGGCTTGGGCAGCACTGGATTGGGATGTTTTCGTGAGGCACATTTTCTTTACATAAAACTCTCTCTTATATATGAGTTGCTGTGGATTTGTTTCTCCAAAGTACCTAGACTAATACAATGTCCATTCACATAAAATGTTCATTCCCCTTGAGTGGGTTCATAAAGTCATCGTTGCTATCATTCTCCCCTCCCCCCATCTGCCTGTACCCTCAGGGATTCATATAATCAAACTGATGCGGAGGAGTATAGGCAAAGTGGAGAGCCCAAGCTTAACTGTATGATAAGTGGACAGTCCCTCACAGAAGGGCCACATGGAATAGATAATAAATCCAGGGTGCAGTAGAGCACTGTTGAAACACATAAACACCCTCTAGTTCTTTAAAATCTCCTCCTCCCAGTATTATGGCCTTGGTTTCACCTCATTAATCTTGCTAGACCTGCATATGGACATTGATCCTATTAAAATCTTTCAATGCACAAAATCCAAGATAGATAACCCCCTTAATCCATTGTTCTATCCCTTCCTCTAAACCTCAGGGCTGCAGGATTATCATCCATATCAGTTTCACTTGGTTTGTTGTGTTTTGTTGTAGAAGGTTTGTGCAGCATGTCTGCTTAATCCACCATCTTGCTGAAAGTTCTATTCTTATGATTTAAAACATATTTTGTCTATATATTTAATATCTGCAAACAATTCAGAAGCTATTCTTTTGAAAATGTTTTAAAATGAACTGTATAATTACTTTTAATTTTTAAAGCTTTAAAATTATAAATAAATATACATATCTACGGGAATATAAAACATAAGATCCCTGAGAGTAGTGTAAATGAAGGGCTGTGCTATTTCAAAGGTGTGAGATCTCACACTAATTGACAAGTTGAGAAAAACTTCAATCAGAAGTTGTAATTTAAGCTAATTACTTAATAGAATAGTAGAGTCTAGACAAAAATGAAGGGGGTGAGTTTTTAGGAAGGATACAGAAAGAGCGAAACTAATAGGAAGGTGTTCTGGTTGAAGTTTCAGGAAGCAAGATGTCGGGGAGGGGATGTTTCCATTATAGGACGGATGTTTCCATTAAGGACGGAGGTGTCAATTCTGTGTCCTGGAATCAGAATCACTTGTGAAAAGTAATAGAAGCATAAATTAGTGATCGAAGGGATAATGCAAAGGGATTTTCTGAGTCTTTAAAGGTGGGGAGAATGATGGCAGATATCTTTTATTTCTCTAGAGAACCATAAAAGTATATAACGCTGTTTCTTTTATTAATTTTTATAAGCTGAGACTTAGATTTGAATATCTTGACCAAAATTATACAGAAGCAAAAGTAGTATTTGAACCCTAATTCATGGAACTTTAAGTCAAATATTTTTCATTACAATAGTCTATTTTCTACCTCATTATCTCATCCATCCACAGTGCAACTACACTAGGCTGTGTTCTAATGGGAAAGTGTACAGAGTGAGAAAACTCATATTTTTGAGTCCATTTTAGATGAAAACTTTTTTGAGCTTTTTAGCCACGGGAATGAAAACTTTTGGACACAATTGTATAATAAATAAATTCTCTATATAAATCCACAGTGCCATTTTACATCTTCCATTTGATATGGAAAGGGTAGTAAACTGTAAACATTTTCCCTCCATCCAAAATAATATAGTTGATAATATTATACATTTTCTAGAGCCCTTAGTAGATGACACACACAAATAACAACACTCAGATCCAGATTGTGTGAGGGGAAGAGCACAGAATTGTACATTATCTTTGGGCTCAAGTTTTCATTGTAGTACTGATGTTCTGGATGATTCTTTCTGAGATTTTTTAAATGATAAGTGAGAGTATACTTGTCAAGTATCAAATGTGAAGACATGATTTTCAAATTGGAAAAATATAATTTTGAAAATGACAAATTCTTCATAAAAGGGAGATTATGCTTTTTGCATATGTGCAAGCTAAATGCAAATATTTACCTTGAGCTAATGTATGACTTGAAAAAAGCTAATAAAAAAAAAAACAGACTGAAAACCAAAATAATGAGTTCTTTAAATAAAATAGATGGTCCAGGGAAGATTCCATACATAGTGTGGGGAAAATCAATAATGAAATGAAAAATTCCTCCTAATTTCTGTTATGTTTATGCTTGTTCAATAACCCAAAATGACTCCACAACAGTACATAATTTCAGTTCCCTAATGTAAAGAAAATGCTGATGTAATCTCTCTACGTTTCCCCTGAATTTAAACCCGGGCAGTCTCGTCGTGGGAGGAGGAAGCACTTGATCGCTTCATTTGATCAGTTGGTTCAAATGTACTCTTTGTCGAAGCAGAAAAGGTATGAGCTTTCTATATCTTCCTTTCCCTCCCCCACTGGAAAGTGGATGGTTAGTATATCTCTTCAGGTGTTTAGTGATGTACAAAATAGGAAGCAAATGATTTAATTATTGTTAAATTTATTATGCAATTCCAACTTCATATTTCACAGTGCCAGCTTTTATCTTTTTTATAATAATTTAGTGGCAATATACTCTATTGATATTTCTGTGCATTTTAGTGTATGTGCATTTTGTGCTGCACAATTTTGTGTTCTAGGGTACAGAAATTCTCAGGTAGGGTGGAGTTGACTGTGGTTCTCCTGAACTTTCCATCATTGAAAATTTAATTGTTGCCATTTAAGATGTGTTAGTCAGGTAAGTGATTCATGCAATTTGGGAAATTGAAAGTTAAAATATTCTGGCAGTTTCATCCCAGCTGCTACATCTAGCCCCTTGAATTTCATTCACTTATTCAACAGGGTATACAAGATGTCCAAGCTAATAATAGTGGCTGTTTTGGGAGATACATGGTATCTTCAAGAGGAAAAAGAAATAATGATTTAATTATTTTTTAACTTAGATATTATCCAGAGTATCTGCAGCTTCTACTCTGTGATTTTTATAAAGAAGTTTATATTTTTATTTATCTAATTAATCTCCACTTATTTTGTGAAAAAAATATCGTTATGAAAGGGACCAGCAAACATATTGCTCTCTTACTCTGTCTCATGCACATGTGCACAGATCCTCCCGAGAAACTGTGCTCTTGTGCTTCTGATGCAGTTTCTGAATTCAGTCAAGAAAGGAAGAGTTGAATAAAATTGAAGTGTGTTAGTGAGGGTATGGGTGTTTGTAGATGTGATGCCTAAAAGGTGTTTGAGGAGATTTCAATGGACTTTCAAAATTTCAAAGCATTTCAATTATAATGTTAGTAATATTAAGGATAGTGATAGAACATTGCACCAGCTACTGCTTCTCCTACTGAGTGCCCAAGATTAGCTAATGCATGCAAAAGTGGAGCGAGTGGGAGCTTCAGTGAATTGCTGAATGTAAGACATGGCGTGTTAGAGATTTAGTTCATTTACTTAGTCTTTCTAACCAATCCACAAACTGAGTCTTATAACATTCACAATTTTAGGAGAAATGAATATGACTATAAATAAAAGTTTAAATACTTGTTTTCTTGGGTGGGCTATCAGGACCTCAGCCTCCCAGGTCTATCTGATTCCTGAGTCTACTTTTAACCATGATGTGGTGTGGCCCCTCTGAACCTGTTATGGGCCTCTATAATTTCACATCCAATTTCAGAAAAACAGCAAAAAGCACATTTTATACTGGGAAGATGTTAGGGGATATGTTACATGTGAACTATTAAAAAGCAATGACTCATTTTCCTTCCCAGGTGACAACTGTAAGCTGGACCATGTACTCAGAGAATCAAACTTCAAGCGCTGGTTTCATCCTGGTGGGAATTTTTGGGTCAACCAAATTTTCAGTCCTCCTCTACAGCCTGTCCTTCATCTTTTTCTTGATGGCCCTGACTGGGAATGCTATTCTCATAATCCTGATCCATACAGAACCTCGACTTCACACCCCTATGTACTTTTTCATCAGCCAGCTCTCTTTCATGGATCTCATGTACATATGTGTGACTCTCCCCAAGATGCTTGTGGACCAGGTCACAGGAGATAATACTATCTCCCACCTAGGTTGTGGAATCCAGATGTTCTTCTACCTGACTCTGGCTGGAACAGAGTTTTTTCTCCTAGCTGCCATGGCCTATGACCGATATGCTGCCATTTGTCGACCTCTCCATTACCCGCTGCTCATGAACAAGAGAGTCTGCCAATTGCTTGTAGCAGGATGCTGGTTCCTGGGAACGGTGGATGGCTTATTGCTGACCCCAATTACCATGAGTTTCCCCTTTTGTCACTCCAGGAAAATCATGAACTTCTTCTGTGAAGCCCCTGCCCTGCTGAAACTCTCTTGTTCTGATATTTCCCTATACAAGACACTCATGTACTTGTGCTGTGTCCTTATGCTCCTCATCCCTGTCTCCATCATCTCTGCCTCGTATGCCCTCATCCTGCACCTCATCCATAGGATGAATTCAGCCGAGGGCCGCAGGAAAGCCTTGGCCACCTGCTCCTCTCATATGGTGGTGGTGCTGCTCTTTTTTGGTGCTTCCATCTACACCTACATGCTTCCCAGTTCCTACCACACAGCTGAGCAGGACATACTGCTGTCTGCCTTTTACACCATCATCACTCCTGTGCTAAACCCACTCATTTACAGCCTCCGGAACAAAGATGTCACAGCGGCCCTGAGGAACCTTATGCCATCAAGGTTGAACCTCAGAAAAGCTACAAATGTGAAACCCTAGGAATGACAATCTATCTCCCTGGTCTCGTTCCTTCTTTCCTTTTCCCTACCTCTCAGCCCATTCAGTGATCTAATTCTGTGTCCCTATGTGATCTTCCCTCCCCGTTATGCATGCCTTATTTCTCCTCCACACTGTGGCTCATCCAGATTTTCTCTAATCTTTCTTCCTTAGTATCATTTTATCTCTGATAAAATAGAAATACCAGAGAGTGACTTTTATGTTGTCTGCCATCTCAATTCCATTGGCTGTTTTAATATGAGATTTGGGGAGTCAAAGCTTGGACCCTAAAAATGGATCCTTGTGAGGATTGCACAGCCTAGGCAGAACCCGTGAGGGAGATTGGATGTTGTCACCAACGCTCCAAATCATAGTTCATTTGTGCCACCCACTACATTCCCATGTCTGCCCGTGGATCTTCAGCAAGTGTATCCGAATCCATTCTTTTTAAAAAAAATATATTGATAGCCAAAAGGTCTGGGATCTTAAAGGCCCAAAGTTAAACAAACAGCCGTCTTGCAGGGAAGCAACAAGCCCACATGGAAGAAGCTCCCCGGCCTGTGAAATCTTCAGGTGTTGATGGAATCAGGTAACAGGCCCCAGAAAACCCCAGACAAAACAAAACATTTTGTTAAGAATGGGGGTGGGGGGCTTCTGAGCAGAGACCTCAAACCCATCTATAGACAATAGGACATCCCCTCTCAGAAAGACCACAATGAAGGAATGAGTCAACCAGGGTGCAGTACAGCACCGATGAAGTGCACAATATTCCTCTGTTATTTGAGGAATACTCACCACCCCCACTATCATTACCCCAGTCCTGCCTTTCAGTTCTGGCTAGACTGGAGCATGTACACTGGTACAGAACCCAGGTCAGTTAAAACCCTCAGGAACAGAAAAGGAGAGTAGGGGCAAGGTGGGGAGGAGAGGAAGGAGAATTGCAATGATGAACAACAGAAACATGGGTAAAGGAAGACATCAGTCATTGTAAGATATGAAAACACTAATAATTTATCAAGGGGTCATGAGGGTGGGAAGGGATGAGGGAGGGAAAATAGTAGGGGCTCACATGAAGGGCTCAAATAGAAAGTAAATGTTTAGAAATGATGGCAACAAATGTACAAATATGCTTGATACAATTGATGCATGAAATGTTATAAGAGCTGTTAGAGCTCCAATAAAATAATTTTAAAAATTAAAATAAATACTGTATGTTGATACCAAATTCATATGGTAAATACCAACATTTTCAATATTTTCTGGTCATAAAACTACCTTGACCAAATTCCAACCCACACTACATTTCTAGAATTTAAGTAAAATTCCCAAATTTTACATGTCATAAAGTCATAGAAATGTGGTTGCTTATTTATATTCTTTACACTTTAACTGAAATATATGAATGTTTGGGGGAGGGTGGATATTTAGGAAATCTTAATCTCAGCCTTTTATAATAGTTTCAGGTTTGTCACCGGCCTTACTTCTTCTCACACTCCTCCTGAACATAACCAGGTTACTGCTGCAAATCAACTAATGCATCAAGTCATTATTATTTTCACAAACACAACTACTTATGGATCTAGTGTTTCCAGAATGCCAGAAAATGGGAATGAAATGCATTTGTTCATATTAATGTACAGCAAGGCATATGTTGTCTCAAAGTTATCAAGGTTGTGCCACTTGGCACAGAAGCTTACCCTTCCCTTACTTACTAGCAAAAAGAATTCAGGTGTTTTCTTATCTACTCTAATTTCAATAGATGGGCATACATTTTCCTTTTATTACACTTGAGCTAAACACTTTTACTTCTCAACTGATAATTTTTCCTACAGTGTGTAAAAGGAAAGTGTCTGATTTTGGAAAAAATTACACTTAGTCAGATTAAATAAATAACACCTGAAAGAAAAGAAAAACTTGTTTACAGTTAGGTAAAACTAATTTTAGATATTAATGAGGACTCATAGCAGCCCCCCATGGGTTTCCAAGACTCTGTTTATGGATCTAGAAGGCCCAGTCTTTTGCTCACACAGCTGCTGGTGGTTTCAAACTGTCAATCACGCAGATCACAGCACAACCACTTACCAGACGAAAGGGACACTATAGTTGAAAAAGTAATGAGAGAATTTAGTTATGTTTGAGTTTGGATTGACTAGATGGTGGTGAGTTTGTTTTTCTTGGTAGGTATTATTTTATTATTGATATCATTATGTCATCCTCTTCCCTCCCGAAATATGCAGCTTGTTATCCTGCTTGTCATCCTGGAGGACATTGCTACGTAAAATTACAATATTGAATTTAAACTTACCAGACATTTGTGGGGCTGTGAATAATGATGAGATAAATGAAAGGGGGATTAGATTTAAAACTACTCAGTCTTGGGTTTATGTCCTGGACTTTCCACTTAACATCTAAGGACCTCTGAAATATTTTTGAGTTTTTCTAAACTCACACAGTTTCCCTTATAACGTTCTAAGGTGGAGACAACATTACTTTCTGTTCAAGTAGAGTAATCTGCACAGAAAGCCCACACTACTTGCCCCAATGTGCTAGTTCCTCTGCCTCTTTTGGATCATTCTACAGCCTTCTATTTTTCAAGCATGATTTCCTACAGTCATGAAGTGTGGAGGGAACCCAGAGTCTGCCTAAGCTGCTAAGATGCCTCCCTCAGGCTGAGTCAGATTTGTTACGCAGCAATTCTCATGAACAAATGACTTTCTCTCACTTCAACCTTGGTTTTTCATCATAAAAGCATTTCTGTCTATATGAGAGTAAGTCATACATTACTGCTACTAACGTTCCAGCTCAGACACGGGTATGTTTGTTTGTTTTTCCCGCTGACAAAATTCATTTTGAATGTCTCTGTGATCACAGGAGGGAATCCTGGTAGCATAGGGAGTTACATATTGGACTGAAATGTCAACAGTTCAAAGCCACCAGCTACTCCAAGGGAGAAAAAGATGAGACTTTCTACTCTCATGAAGAGTTTCCGCCTCAGAGCCCCACAGCAGGCAGTACGACTCTGTTCTACAGGGTTCTATGAGTTGGAATTGACTCCATGGGAGTGAGTTTGATTTTTAAGTTCAAGTGATCCCTGGATGGGTGCAGACAAATCTCTCAGTAATGTGCTTGCTTTAGTCTCACTAGACTGTCTTTCAAAAATAATCCCAACAAAACAGTAGCTTCTAAGGGGATATGCTAGGCCGGTTAAATTCAAGACAGACAAGTAATCTTAGAAGGGCATGATTGCTCTTTTGGGGGCATTTGAAAAGAGTAATATTGATTACGTTTTTTAAAAGGACACAAGATCATCCTGAGGGTTATTAATAGAAATTTTAAGAAAACTGAAAAATGTATTAGTAGGAAAACATCTAGGAATGTTGAATGGAGGAATCCTACCCGCCCCCCTTCCCCATCATGACAATGGACCTGCTTTGTCTTCAAGGGTAGCGAGGGGCATGTACAAAATTTTTACTGAAAAATCTTACCCCTCCTACTCTGTAGTCTTGATCTTGTACCTCCCTACCCAGCCCCCAAGACTTCTCTTTGTAACCAAAATTCAAAAAACATTTAAAAGTAACACAATTTTTTTTTGAGTCCCTCAAGTATGCCAAAGTCAAAAGTTTGATATGATGTAAATCAAAGGGTACAGAATTCATTAGGGGAGAATTATTAGAGAGATGGAAACACCATCTTCAGAGGTTTATACACATCGATGGAGCATAGGTCCAGAGAGAATAGTTTCATTTTTTGTTATTGTTTAATAAAGGTTAAAAAGCCAATTTGTGGCAATACTTTTTGACTTGTCCTAGTAGATAGAGGAGTCTTGGTTAAGCTGTATCTGAGAACCAAAAAGTCAGAGGCTGGGATACAGCAATGTCTTTGTGGGAGAATAGACCTGGCGATCTTCTGTAAAGACTATAGCCTAGAAACCTCTTGGGGCGTTTCTTCTCTGCCATAGAGAGTGGTTATGAGTCAGAATTGACCATAGTACATAACAATAGCTATGTTCAAATAAATAATATATTGTAAATGAGAAGCTTTTAACACACAGAAGGTACCCAATCTAAAGTCTATTATCACTAAGAGCCTTAAAAATCTGCATCAAACTCCTTGTCATCAAATTGATTCCAGCTCTCATGACCCTGTTAGACAGGGTAGAGGTGCCCTTGTGGGTTTCCAAGCCTATAAGCCTTCATGGGAGTAGCAAACTCATCTTTCTTCTATGGGTTGTCTGGTGGTTTGGCTTCTTCTATGGGTTGGCTGGTGGTTTCAAACTGCTGACTTTATGGTTAGGAGTCTTCGGTGTAGCCACTATGCCATCAGGGCTCCTTCTCAGAACCTAGATAACTATTGATTCCTTTCACTTTTCTCTGGGATGTGACTGCAGGTTTATTGTTCCTGCTCATGACTCTCTCCTTAGTATGTCTGTTCTGGTTCATCATCGTGCACTTTAAAAACAATTCCCAACACACAATAGGAGCCCACTAGAACCCTGTGGAATGAATAAATGGCTATTTCTGGTCTTATTCCATCTTCTAGTTAAACAGCTCTACCCTAAGTATCTCATTGAAATTAAACAATCTTGGATAAAATTTATTACCTTTCCCCCACCCCATGATGTTTATTCAAATGCACTTTGAATGACTCTATTACTAATCTGATCAAAAGACACCTGTTCTCTGTGGTTCATGAGGGGTACAGCAGTGAAGAAAACACACACTTTTACCACAAAGGGCCTATTTTGTACTGAAGAAAAGAGCACTGTAGGCATGAAATCCCAGAGTATAAGAGCTTTATTAAGCCAAAGTGATACTGGAGTGAAATGAATCTCTCAGCAATGCTCTCAAGAAAATTAATTTGCTTTGTGAATATATGAGTATTTTAGAAGGAAGATCAGTGCTACGCTGAATTTTATAGTAATGGTTTTGTTATTTGGGGTTATAGATATATAACTTACTCATGTATACCTAACAATACTAATTGATTTTAGGTTTTGGCTTTAC